TGGCATAGTGCATAGAGTGCCAGGGCCTGGAATCAGGAAGAATTGAGTTAAAATCTGGCCTAAGGTACCTACTAGCTGTGGGCAAATTAGTTAACCTCTGTTTGCCTCGGTTTTCTCATCTCTAAAATGGAAATAACCACCTCTCAGCATCTACGTGCCAGGGTTGTTGTAAGAATCAAATGTGATCATATTTGTAAAGTGCTTTTGGCAGGGTGCTTGGCACGTAGTAGGCACCATATAAATGCTTATTCCCTTTCCTCCATCTCTGGTAGGGGCTCATGAGCTATAATCTTAAGAGGGTAGACCCACATAGTCCTTTGAACCTGGAGTAGATGTCCTGAAAAGGAACAAAACTTGGAGTGAGGACGATATCCTTAGAACTGTGGTGATTGAAATAATTCGAGAGACATAGTTTCTGGGTAATTTAATCATTTTATTAATAAGGCCAGCATTTTATTAATAAAAGGATGACTTAGACCAAAGACAATCATGGGGGTGGGCTCAGGGCTTATATGTTCTTTTGGAAGAGGAATGGCAATCAACTCTGGTTAACACAATGAGATATTAAATATGAGATATGGCTATATTAAAATGAGGGGCTGAGAGTGACATCAAGTCACTCTTGGAAAGATAAACTTATCTCTATACCAAGACCACCCCCAGTTTTGGGCTATCTATTCAGAGTGTGTGTCTCACCCATGCCTGAGCCAGAGACTATGGCACTCTCAGGGTGGATCTAATCCAGGGGTGGGGAACCTGTCATAGAAAATTTGAGTTCAGTCAAAAGGCCATACTTAGCCTCAAGGCTGCAGGTTCCCCACCCCTGTTTATCAGCAATGTGCTTCTACTGGCTGAACTTTTAAAATCAGGGCTTTAGAAAAGGGGGGAAATTCTGGATCTCCCCAATCATTGGTTATTAATAATCATTTCCCTCAGAACAGTTGGAAGAGGTGCTACATACAGTAAAAAGGGAAGTGACTGGAATGCATAAGTCTTATAGGAAGGAGTCGTCACACCTGTTGGGGGGGGGTCATAACTCAAAGCTAGACCATGTATTTTAGAAGAGCCAAATCTGAAATTTTCATTACTTATATGTCACATCTCTGTAAAATATAAATGATGATCACTTTCTAAATAAGAAAAGTCTAAATTTTAAACATAAGCTTTCTCCAACTTATAATACATCCTTTTTTATCATGGACGGGATACTGACTGATAAAGAAATTGTGCCTTGTTCATATATGGTCAATAATGAAATCGGTTTGGCATTTTCTATCACTTGGCCATTCACATTTTGTCAGCCATAATTGTTGGAAGGTTTTTTCTTGTATACCTAAGCATGATTTGGATTAGAGTGAAAATTCAGTTGAGGAGGAAGGGAAAGACAAAGTTGGTTTGGGTGTTATGTTTGGTGTTTACTAGTGGCCTGGAGGTGTTGTTCTGATGTGTATACACTTTCCTGAAGTCACCTCTACAATGCAGTTTTGGGATTAAGAGTGGGGGTTGATAATTAAGTGCTAGAATAAATGGAGCCTGACTTAATTTTATGCTGTTGTAATGAGAGGCCTGTACCTTGTAGCACCTAAGTCTTTTCTCTCATGGCTTCCTTAATGGCAAATAAAGTAAATCATTTACATTTTTGCTCTTTGAACCCTGAAATCTTTTTGAGGACACTGGATATGAGCCAAAATCAGAAGATTTGCACTTGACGTAAGATTGTGAACTAAGGCAGGATATTTACTGCTGGAGAAATTATCCTGGAAATCATTGGAGCATTCAAATTAATGTTGAGTGTGCCAAAAATTCGATTGGGCTATTTACGTCTACTTTCTTGATTTGTTCAGAAGGAAAAAATTAAAGGAATAATTATAAATCTTGTAGTGAATATTAACTGGTTCTTTATAAAACCTGCTCTCAAATTTTCTCGATTTTGTTCAGAATAAATAAGTGATAAATAATTTATAAAACTGGGACATCTTGCAACATTTAATCTTGAGAGGCTTCTTTAATAATACCCATGGAGCCCCCAAAGCAATACAGATGACTCATTAATCTTTATAAGGCTTCTGTGAGGAAAGGAGAAAATGGTACCATGCCCATTTTATAAGAGAAACTGAGACTTAAATGACAAGGATTATCAGTAAACAAGCTAATATTAGTAGCTAATTAAAAAAAAGTATTCTAGGGAATGTCATTTTAATGAAATATTCTATGATATGTCATAAGATAGTTAAGAATCAGCTTTGGTCTCCCAGACATTCTGCATTTATAGTTGAACACTATGATAATTGGTGTTCAGAATAATGACTGTCAGGCACTGCAATATTCTAAAGTGCCCTCTAATCTTTAATCATTAAAGATTAAATTACATTTGGCGTATTTTCCGTTAGAGGCAACAGGGTATAGTGGATAGGGGTAAGTTCAAGTTTTGTGACCTTGGGTGAGTTTTTTAGCTTCTCATTGTTCTAGGCAACTTTAAAGATGAAAATATGCTACCTTATGTTGGTAGAGAGGGTTTCTTCCCTGGGAGTCCTCTATATCGATGAAATCATAGGAATAGTCCCTGTCCCTCTGTAGTTTTACTATGTGTATTTTATTATTTTTTTTGAAAATAGGTAATCTTTGTATTGCATATGCGTTAACTTTCAGTTAACTAAAATACACCATCGATTGTATTAGTCAAACAATGAGAGTTTGCTCTAGTTAGCCCCCTCCCACCCAGCCCCTCTAACCCAGTCAATTACCCAAATAACCAATAATTTTTCTGTGAGCCAAAAGCTTCAAGAAAATGTCAAAGCTATGCCATTTGTTGCGACCAGGATAGAGTGTAGCATGTCTGTCCTCTCTCTTCCCATCCCATATGCCTCACAAGTCTAGGCCACAGGGATTTTAGATGGAACTTATTCTAAACCAGAGCCTCCTAAATCAACACCTTCATACCTAAGAAGTTCCTTTTCTTTAGGACTCTCTAGGTTTTTGGATGGGGGAACTATAAGAAGCTGGATAACAGAATCCCTCTTCTAAAGGCAGATCAGTGGTATAGAGCACTGGACCTAGCATCAGGAAGAGTAAGGAAATCAACCCTAGCCTTAAACACTAGCTGTGGGACCCTGGGCAAATCACTCAACCTCTCTCTGACTCAGTTTCCCATGGAATAGGGATAAAAACAGCACCTGCTTCCCAGGGTTTTTAGGAAAATTGAATGAGGTAATATTCGCAAAGCTTTCAGCACAGTGCCTATCACATAATAGATACTATATAAATACTAGTTGTTATTATTACTAGTAATAATAATAAAATATTACTAAAAGGAACCCCAAACTGATCAGAATAGCAGGGACAAGGAAGAACCTAGACACAAGAGAGTGAAGATTGATTTTAGGATCACAATTAATAATGGTCATCAAACAACTGTTTACTTTCAAAGAATTTTTACTGTCAACATACAATATCTCCATGAAGGTGGCCTTCCCATGTAAGTAGATATGTCAATGGGTACAAAATGGTAGTGGATGACAGCAGCCCAGTATGCATATATTACTAGTCATGGATATGGATAAGGAGACTCTTTCATCCTGTAAATTTTTACCCACCCATATCTTACTGAAGATAGAAAAGAAAGTAGGTGTGAGTGAACAGTACACTGATAAAGAAATCCAGACAGTAATGATATCTCACTTTGCTTTGGTTCTGGATTGGCTCAGAAAGATATATTCTTGGTTTCTAAAGGCTTTTGATTCACTTCAGCTGATTTATCTGTTTCTGCTTGCATTCTCTCCTGTAAATAAAGTTTGTGATAGTTAATCAGTGTGATTGCTGAGGGACCAATAGATTGTTATTCCTCCCTAGGTAATCCACACTCTAGGCCTCATGTCTCCCATTGTTGCCAGACTGTCCATTCCTCCCAAATATCTATTAGCACAGTTGTGAGGACGAATAATTAGTGGATAATCCTTTCTCCCCTGATGTGTAGCCCCAGAAAAAGGATATTATTGCCTCTGAGAGAGCTGCTGATGTCGAATCGTCTGATGCATCTTGGTCAGAGGAGTACAGTGGCTCCTCCATCTCTATCACCAGCAACATTAGCAATGGTCTTTTGTAGGGAAAACCCCCAAGACCAGGCTATGTGCTTAATATTGGGAGATCCACATGTGCTAAGATGGAGGATAAACTCTGAACTCTCCAATTCCCATTTAGGCTTTCTCCCTTACAGAGCCTTTCTTGCAGAAACATCTGCAAAACATGCCCAGAGGCCCCATTTCCACATGGTGAATTCCTTGGAGATTCTGATCAGTCATCTCAGATCTTCATGGAGTTGTCATTTCAGGGTTATTTTAGTACACTAGGGTATGCTGACTCTAGATTCAAGTATCAGAATCTCATAAAATTCCTTTTTTTAAAAAACAGATTCTGCTTCTATACTCAAGACTTAGTGAGAAGGGTCATTTACACTTAGGTTGATATTCATTGTGTTTAGTGAGTCATCAGGAACAGAATGATAGGAAGGAACCTTCACATTGCCAAAGGGAGCACAATTCTTTTATTAGAACCAGCAGAATACTGGAGAAATAAATGTTTGAGTGTTCTCTCTACTCATAGAAAACCTGGGTAAAAAAGCACACACTTTGACAAAAGGTCACATAGGTGCCTCAAGTAACTTCATCAGCCTTATCTTACCAACAGATGATGAATGGCTGCAGTTTAAGGACAATTAGTGCTCAGCTTAATGATGCAGGACTCATATTCGAAGTGAACAGTGAGGTGAGATGGATGCACACTGATTTAAATGTGATCAACTAGGGGCACACGTTGTCAGATCTGGTTCATGGTATGAAGCAGCATGATGAAAATGGAAGATTGTTGATGTCTCTTTCCAAGTTCTTCCGTATGCAGTTTACACAATTTCAATAACTCACTAGAACTTTGTGGACAACTTTTCAAATTTACAAGGCCGCTCCCAGGATGTTGGATGCATTTTTAATGGGATTTTCCTTTTCACAGAAAACACCATTTCAGCAAAGCATTTGACAAGCTGGTAGCAAATGCCTTAATGCAGGATGAGTTAGTCAGGTATGATTTGCTTGTCTTCTTAGATCAGTGCTGTTTGTAGTTTCTTTATTTTCATGGAGAGAAGAGAAAGCCTTTGTGAGTAGTGCTTCTTTCTGCCTAGATGCCTATTAATCATGGGTTCTTGCTGGGTAGGTTGGTATCTTCTTCCAAGTTGTGAGCCTTTCAATGATAAAAGAATCATATCAAGACCTGTTCATTCTCTAATTGATGGTGGTCACTGTCACCTATCTTTAACAAGAGTTGAAATACTAGATTTTTCATTTATTATTTTAGCTTTTTTCCACCATCTTTTTTTCATTATTAGTTATTCTTTTACTATTTTAAAAACAAGTTACTGTAATCAGGGTTAATTATACTACAGATCACAATTTTTTGATAATTTACCCTAAATGTGTATCATGGAAGTCATGTGACTTCCTAGAATGTTACTTGGAAATGGTCTTTTAAGAATTGCCCTTATCTAAATAAAAAGAAAAATAAATCCCTCTTTTGAGTCTTAGATGTCCTTGTTGATTGCTTTGGGGTTATCTTTGATTCTTCTTTTCCCCTTTTATTACTAATTAATTAACAAGCCCTATTGTTTCTATTACTGCAACATTTCTCCTATTTCCCCATAATCTTTATTTCCACTGGCTCCATTTTAGGATATGCTCCTAGTACCTGCAGCTAGACTACTACCTTACCTTCGTAATTGCTCATCCTGGTTCTGTGATCTTTTGTATTCATCTATTTATCTTGTGTCTCACATTTGTGTTCAAAAAACTTAAGGGACACATACATAGTGGTGCACTGAGCAAAAGTCAAACTCTTTTGTCTAACATTCCAGACCCTTAATGATCTTGACTTCAGGTTCCTGTTCTTGTATTATTTTTATTAGTTAATTATGCACTCCATACTCTACCTAACTAGGCAGTTCTCAGCCCATCCTCCCCCATAACCCTTAATGTTCCCACCCCAATGAAATTATAGGTCAAGGTCTCTTACGTGCTCTTCCCGAAGCCCAGGGTGTATGTTGACACCTGCAAATAAATTATAAACACAGCTAATGACAATAACAATAACAACATTTATATTGCACATATGTTATATGTTCACTGTAAGTGCTTTATAAATATCTCATTTGATTCTTACAGTGACTCTGGGAGATAGGTGCTATTATTATCCCCATTTTAATCAATCAGTCAGTCAATAAACATTAAGTCCCTTCTGTGTGCCAGGCACAGTCATAAGTGCTGGGGATGCAAAAAAGAGGCAAAAGACAGTCTCAAACCTCAGAGAGCTCATTTTATATTTGAGGAAACTGAGGCAAACAGGTTAAATGACTTGTCCAGTGTCAGTAGTTAATAGACATTTATTAAGATACTAACAACAACAACAACAATAATAATTATAATAATGATACCTCATCTCATAGTAGATTTCCATTTTAAAAATTCTAAGCTTAACTATAAACAAAAATAAATATCTCGATTTATTCTAAAAGATTGTGCAGTTAAACTTCTAAGGCGCTTGTCCTAAAAAGAACAAATAACAATATGACTCTGGCTTACTTGAACCAGGAACATATCATCCCTTGACTTTTCTTGAGGAAATGGTCAAGGTTCACTTAACTTTAGGGTGCAGGAATTAGGTATAGATTCAGAAATTTCTCATCTAAAATGCATAAACTTAGTAGCAGGAAAGGAGAGATAAGATTCTCTGAGGTATCAGATTATTGTAACCTGTAATCCAGAATCACTCATGATCTGATTTCACATGGATCAGTTTGATATTGGGTACTACCCTCAAAATGACAATTCTTAGGGATGTGTGCTCCATCCAGAATTACTCAGAGAAATCTCCCAAATATTGCTTATACCATAGGCAACAGTATGTTAGTAAATATTTATCATCTGACTCTCTAGAAAAAAAAAATCTGCCCAGCACACTTTTAAGTTTAATCTGAGGTATTAACATTTTTCTTCATTACTTCATTACTTTTCTTCATTACAAAATGAGAAATCAGGTTACATATCTAATAATTGTTAGAGAAAGAATTTAAATTCATGTTAGTGATTAACATTATTGTTAGCCCTCTTCTTTCCAGTGTCGATAGTCTTGGAGACATCAGGGGTTTGTTAGTGTGGGAAGTAAGGAGGGCACAGATATTTAACACACACACACACACACACACACACACACACAACACACTTTTTAGCTGACTAAAAAAAGAGGAGGAAATATGAGACCCATAAAGTTGAAAAGGAATGGAAAAGAAGAATCTCATGTTTTGGGAATAAAGGTGTTTTACTTCTTTACCCTTTTCCCTTTGTCTTTTTTTTTTTTTTTGGCAATTGGGGTTAAGTGACTTGCCCAGGATCACACAGCTAGTAAGTATCCGAGGTCAGGTTTGAACTCAAGTCCTCCTGACTCTAGGACTGGTGCTGTATCCACTGTGCCACCTACCTGCCCTGTTTCCCTCCCTCTTTTAAGGATATTCCAACTGACCCTGCCCTGTCCCCTTCCTACAGCTTCTACTTCTTCCTACCTTTCTAGCTGAAACTATAGCTATGTCAAATAATAGTGTCCATTTCTTCAGGGCAGTATAGATCATAGGATCATAAATTTCAAATGGAAAAGTACCTTAGAAACCACTGAATTTAGCCTCTATATTTTACTGAAAAGAAAACTGAGGCACAGAGAGGTTAAAGTAACTTGCTCAAGGACCACACAACTAGTACATCTCTGACATGGGTTTTGAACCCTGATGCTCTTATCTCCAAGGCTAGTGGCCCATTTATAATACCATACTACCTTAAAGATAGGGAAAGGGTCACTAAATTCTATGGGTTGGACTGACAGACCTCCAAAGTCCCTTCCAATTCTGGGATTTTATCCCCTGAACCACTATAGTAACTACTTCTTCACTTGACTCCCCCTGACTCCCTTGAATTTGTCTTAATTAGTTCTTGTATTTTCTCATCATGAATAGCAAAATAAATTTAATGGTACATTTCTGGCTAATTGTCCCAATTAGTTCTGTGTGGCCAGGGCAATAGTTGCCCTAGAACTGAAATGGTTAGTTTTAGCTTTGGAATACTTCTCTTGTTCTTTTTAATTCCTGAATAATGGCTTTCTAGCATCTGGAACTGTCTATTTTTCATGGCCTCCACTCTCTCACTAGACTGATTCTCTAGGCCTAATAAAGACTCTGAGTGTTTCTGATCTAGAGAGACAATATGACTTGAATTGATCAAGAAGTTATGTAATGTCCTGCTTTTCTGGACAAATCACAAGTCAAGTTTCTAAACTACATTTTAAATAGATAGGACAGATAGAAAGGTAGGTAGGTAGATAGCTAGATAGATAATAGCTCTAGCATTTATTAAATGCTTACTACATGCCAGGTATTGTATTAAGTGCTAAAGATAAAAAGAAAACAAGATGGTCCCTACTCTTTAGGAGCTTATTTTTTAATAGGGAAAGATAAACCGTAAAGAGGAGCTAGAAGGTGAAGAAAGAGAAGGATACTCTGGTCAAGGCAGCTGGGGTAGTGGTGGAATAGGCTGGAGATTGAGCTGGAATTGAGGGGAGACATGTGACTGGACCTCCTTCAGATATGACACCCCTGAGCAAGAATTCACCTGATTCAATGACTAAGTGTCAAGGCAGAGTTAGCCTTAGTTGGGCAAGGCCGCTGGTGGCAAGGTAGAATGGGCTGGAATAAGCTGAGAGTGAATATGTTTTTAGTAACTTTCATATTTATAATTTTTTCTTTCTTCTGTCAAGTTAGTTCCAGGTCAGATAACAGTGATGTAGGTCCATCTCTGCATCTTGATAAAACCTTAGATTCAGCCTCAAAGTGAAACACTGTTCTTTAACCATTGCCTTCTGGAAAATAGCATCAAAATGTGATCAGTAATCCATTTAAAATGACCTCCTGAATTCAGAACACATTCATCTTGTTACTGTCAGACATGATCCCTTTGTAACCACTCAACAACTGAACCATATATACCAAGTATAGAAAGGTGGTTATTTTTGTTATGTCCTGCTTTTACCCTGCAATGGGGAGAAAATCAAAGCCTTCATGTTTATCCATGGTTTCTTCCTTTTGGTTTGATTTACTATCATTTGTCTGAAGGGAACCATCTCATCATTAACATGTTTTTATGCTGCTCTTCTACCAATGTTGCCTGTAAGTATGTGCTATTGATGGATTGATGATGGTATAACACATTCATGAATTATAATGTTTTCTGCCCTTGCTGATTTCAATGAATCAATAATTTTGGAAATGAAGGTGTACATAATTTCTATAGGGGATTATTTCTAATTTGAACTGAATAATTAACTCATTACTCTTTTTTTTCTGGGATATTTTCTTAAGAGCCAAGAACAAGCCAGGGATCCAAGAACCTTCCTTATGAACATAGCAATATTACATGCAAAAAATGCATATTTTATTTTGCAACACTGTTCAGAGTAGCATGCTAAGTGTTTAGATAGCTGTTTGCTGAGAATAGCTATTAACTTCCTTAGGCTTCTGTCATCACATAAAAGGTTTGTTTGATGTATAAGTTTGCTGTTGTTGCTTTAAACTGGTAAATATCCTATCATCATGGTTCTCCACAAAGGTAGACTTTTATTATTTTAGTCAGTCAAATGCTAATTTCTCAAGCATGTTAAGTTTTTAGAAATGGTTACATGACTTACTCTGCTCCTCTCCACCCCTAATGATGGGAAGCTGCCATTGATAAGTCCTTGAATGTACTTGGAGGCATTCTCTTGGGCTTATTAACCCTTGGCAACTCTAAGCTCTATACAACTTCTTGGTGCTAAATGTAAAAATTAATATCTCCTCTTGACCTTCCAGCAACAGCAGAAAGTGATTTTATAAGACATTAGCATAATGGAACCTTTTCAATAAAATGATGAATTGAGCCCATTTCGAAAACAGAACACACACTTGGTAATTTATTTGCAGTCACTGCCATACAGAGGACCTCATTCATATCATATGCTTTTAACTCTGATGAGAATGGTGCCGTTTCCCCACTTCTTACTAGTCTGCAAAATTCACTGAGAAGAGAAATGTTCTTTCTAATGGAGCCAGCAGCACTTGGGGGAAATGCTTATCTTGACATGACATAATTATCTCTCATGAACATGCCTAATTGCCTTATTGTTTATAAGGCTATTTCATGTTAATTGAAGGCAATTGCCACTCCCTAGTGTTTTGAGGATGGAGACAGAGAGGAGTTGCCTCTCTGGAATGCACGTGGTCATTGTGCATGCGCTTGAAGACCTCCAAGAAGGGAAACTCAAAACTTCTCAAGGCAGTCCATTACATTTTTGAGCAGCTCTACTTGTTAGGAAGTTTTTTCTTGACATCAGGATTACATTTGCCTCCTTATGACTTCTAGCCTTTACTCCTGTTTCTGCCCTCAGGAGCCCCTTGAAGCACCCTCCCAGCTATCATGTCCCTCTTGAGACTTTTCTCTTCTAGGATAAACATGAACAGTTTTTTCAGTCAATCCTTCTATGACCTGGACTTAAGGCCCTTTGCCATCTTCTTTTCCCTCCTGAGGACATTCTTAGCTTAACAGTGTCCTTCTTGAACAGCTATGTCCAGGACTGAACACAGATGACTTCTGACAAGAGGATGCTTTGACAAGAACAAATCCCAAAATCTGAAAAAGTTTTAGAAAGATTTTTATTAGGTCATTTGGCAAAGGTGAGAGTCAGAAAAAGGCATGGCTCCCTCTTAAATTTTTTGAGGTTACATTATATAGAGTTTATATAAGAACATTTGTCCAATTGGCTATGCTTAGGCAGTAGGTAGTTTCTGGAAAAGGGCAATTTGAGATGTGTATGAGCAGGTAAGTATAAACATTCAAATTTGGAGACAAGCTATGGGTGGACCCAAAAACAACACTGACATGGGATCTAAGCATTTCTTGTAGCTGTAAGTGCTAACCTAGAGCATCTCTGAGGTCAGTCTGACATCTACTCCAAACTTCTGGGTTCGACAATTTCC